TCGTTTTTTATAGCATTCAATAGTATATAATTAAATATAACGATTTTTGTGTGGCAGGTTCAGTAAACTTGTGTAAAAAATGTTTGCGTATGAATATCGTAGTTAAATTTTGTTTTTGTTTCAAAGGGTGTACAGATTAGTTCCAGTTGTAGATGTTAGAAAAAAATGTCTGAAATAAACGGTATCGTTAAACTGTTTTATTGTTTACTGTAATTAGTTAAATGCATATACACACATTCAAAGAATGTTTTTTTTCCCACGTGTCATTACTATCTATTATAAGGCATCTAATGGCACTTTCATGGTGTAAGGAGTTGCAAAGTGGGGGTGTTAGGCGATCCATGCAAGTTTTACAATGAGATAATACTAAAAGCAGCTTAATCCAGGGGGGGGGGGCCATGCCTCCCAGAAAATTAATATAGTAACTTACAGTTGCTATACAAAGGAAATATGTAAAAGTGATGGGTGATACGGTACCCCCGCCCCCTAACACATCTGCTTATAATATTAACAGATGTTCCAATAATATTTATTTTCAGTTATGAGGGAAGTTTCGTTTACATGCCATGTTCTACAACTTGGGAAACTTTTTTCTTAGAAACTACCAATACAACTGTCTACAGCCAAATAGAAAAAAAAACCGTTAGGTTATCAAGGTTTATATATCTGTCTGATACTGGTGTTTTTACATTCATACACGTTAAGTAAATATGGCTTTAAATGTGCAAACATTATCAGACGTTAAAGTAACGCTGTAAGAAATGTTGCTGCTGGAACTTCACTCTAATTAAAGAGGGTGTGAATCACACCCTGGACGTTTGTTACGAACACCTGCCACGAGGAGCGGTTTAGCGGGTGCACACTGTTCCCTGTGCTGGCCTGCACAACTGATTTAATACCAGCCGTGCGGTTTTGTTTCGTGACACGTTTCAAAGTTTGCATCAACTGAGAAGTGATTAATTTTGACAAGCCAGTGTGGTAGCATTGCTAATCTTTTCTTCAGCAGCCACAGTAGACCACTTCTACATAAGTAGACGAGCTGGATGGAAGGTCGCATACCCTCGTGTTGTCAATGCTGCATCAAATGATCATTCCGTTTCTTCTTGAAGAACTGTGTACTTCTTTGCTTATTACTTCACGAATGGATGGATGTATTAGGTGCTGACCTTTGTAATACCTATGCAACAGTGCAGATTTGGTGAGAATGGGTCAATTTGAGGAAGGTTTTTTTGTGGACTGCTCCTGCTTTGTGTTTATTGGTGACAATGTTTAGGACCCCATGTTAAGCAGAAGGCCTCAGCATGGAGCCCGAAACTTTGTCTGAAGCTACCTTAAAAGAAAGAAGAGGAGGTCCAGTACCACTACTGGCTTGCTTGTCCCCCTTGGTCATAAACTGGTCATCACGATATAGGTCGCTTTTTGTCGTTTACCATAGTATAAAACAAGGGTAAAAATTAGACACGACTATATTATTAATAACCCAGAAACTAGATTGTTCCTTAGTATGTAGCATTTAAATGACTTTTGTATCCACCAATTTCAATAACAGATAAACCATAATTGATGTTGCTATAAAATCACAGTAAATTTTTAGAATGTAAAACTGAAGCGGAGAAATGTCGATAAACTTCTTCCAATACCCTACTGCGTAACGGATGAAAACGTACTTGGCAACTTTCAAATTTACAAATACAGTCAGACAATAGACGAGTACGTAACTTAAAGCCGGAAACAGATTACCATAACTAAGGCACTAATATGTTTAAATACTTTTTAGTTATGAGTTGATGTACTAACACACCAGAAACTGGAACCAAATGTGAAACCGATGAAACAAAGGGTTAGTATGACATTTTTCTATTACAGTTATAGGTAGTGTAATGATGAGTTTTGTTGAAACTTCAATGCAGTGTTTATGTTGTCTCGTACATTAAGAACGTTTGAGGCTGCTCATGAGTTAATACTGATTAAGAATAACAAGTTTATACTCTGAGACAAAGTACACAAAAAACAGGTCCGAATATTCTGTTTCATCTTAACTTAAACACTGTTCTAGAGTCATTGATATCTCGTTACAACATCATTTAAAGCTGAGACTGTAGGAAATTAAGATACATTGATGTGTTGTTCTGTTAAGTCACAAATATATCTTGTGTACAAATAAACTCCCATGTTTAGTATACTGGTTCGAAAACTCGGTCTTATAAATAATCTTACATGTTTGTTTAAAAAATGTGAAAAACAAAATATACCTTTGACATTTTCCCTTGCACTATGCGATAGGCCTGTGTTACAACAGTTGTAGACTACTGTCCACCTAGTTCATCACTAGACATTAAGTTCATGATATTTCTGGGTAAATAGAAAACGTTATTTTACTGTTGAAAACAAATGTTTTATTGACATATCTGCTAGCACGTGATTAGACTAAAACCATATAATATATTCATTCTTGATTACTTAACTTGCAGGTGAACTGGATGAATAACAACTTTTAGCACTAAATGTAATATATACAATTATTTTTCCAACAACTGTTTAACATTATAATACATAAGCACTAATTATTTCATAAAGCAAGACAGTCGAACATTCATAACACAGAAAGTGAATCAACAAGTTATGACCGAGGTTTACAATCAATCAAAAATCGTGCACTTAGTGTCAGCAAAACCTCATTCGAATATCTGTACACAACTTTTTACATTTTTGTTTCTCTTACAGAGTTCTATGATTGAATACACACATAACCAACAACAACAACAAAATGCACCGTTTTATCACAAACCTAAAGCTACCTGCTGTTTTCAGCAGAAAAACAAAGGGAATTTCACTGCTCTATGTTAAAATCACGTTATTCACTTTTTCTTTTTGTCCAACTGCTGTCCACTTCTGTCACTAGGGGGCTCCCAGTAGTGTTACGTTCATCAAACGTTGGAGTAGCTTCCCGAACGAAGAGGTGCAATGCTTTAATACCTACAATAATACACTGTGTCATTATACTCGAGAAATACCCTTACCCCATTTACCTCAAGTGCTACAACAATAAACACTAATGATTTTTATTAAATGAGCGTACAAACTCATAAATGGTTAATAATCATCTCTAAATGTTCATTAAAAGTTCGTAAACTTCTTATTTAATGTATAACAATGAACTATCTATCAGATCTGACACGTGATTCCCGTTCAATTTAGCCTTTCGCTGACCACAAGTTAGCATACTTTCGTATAAGTATTTGACAAATGTTATGGTTTCTCCCTATGTCATAGGAAATATTTATCATTATTAAATATTTATTTGGACAGTTGTTTTTTTAAAATAAATCTATCAGAACGTATTGAAATTTCGATTTGTTTCACGTATCGATTTATTACATTCCCGCTTTCCCTAAGAATTTAAGTTTGCTTGAGAAATTTCATCTTTTTAGTTGACTTTCCCGATCGGAAATTTGTTTGTTTTGGATTTCGCGCAAAGCTACA